TGGTGTGGGGGATGCTAACAGTGTTAGCGGCTCAGCTGGAGGACACATGCAGACACTTTTCTTCGCAGCGTGTCGAGTTTCTGCTGAAGGAAAACACCAGACACACTTCCTGATGTCTCAGTTGGACTTTTCTGTGCTGAGACAAACGCTGGCGGCTGTCAGAGCGATTTCCCAGCATGCAGTTTGGTGCTACTGAACACTGACGCCTGAAGCCTGAGTGTGTCTGAGTTACACCGAAGCACTAATAATTACAGTGTGAGAGTTTAATTAACGAGTGTGAATGAGGACAGCGTTCAGTCTGCAGCCGACTGACTCCTGCTGTGTGTGTGTGTGTGTGTGTGTGTGTGTGTGTGTGTGTGTAGGCCTGCTGGGCCTCCAGCTGATTAACGGTAAGAACGAGTCGGCTCACATCGCGGACGCCGTCGCCGTGGTCGCTCAGTCGCTGCAGGAGCTGTTTGAGAAGGAGAACATCACGGAGCCTCCGCGGGGCTGCGTGGGGAACACCAACATCTGGAGAACCGGGCCGCTCTTCAAACGGTCAGTACCGGGCCGGAGGTCGCCGTCATGGTTTCAGGGGACCACAGCTGATCTGGTTTTCCCACTAAGCAACGATTTATTCACATTTGGCCTTTTTTCATGGTAGCAGTGAGCTGCAGGCTCGACATCCTCATACATAGAATGTACTGAGGCATGATGGGTAACGGCGTCAAACACAACAATAATCGACTAGCTGTAGTTTCGGTCATTATTCAATATGAACAGTCTAAATTCTCTCCTTTTCTCCAGAGTGAATGTTTTCTGGTGTCTTTGCTCTGTGACAGTAAACTGAGGATCTTTGGACAAAACAAGACTTCAGTAGAAACTCTGATCCACGTTTTAGGGATCAAACATCTGATTGATTGATCCAGAGGAAGTCAGCTCAGGTGACTGAACATCAGTTTGTAGTTTGTCATGTGCAGCTTCAGGTGTGGACAAAACGGATGTTGTAGACGTTTCATAACAGCCTGAAAAATGGCATTTAGTTAGACTTTTCCTTTAGGGTTCCTGGTTTTGTTCCGTCTGTGAACACCATGTGACGTCTGCAGCAGCATCCAGAAGCCCGTTTGCTGCTGATGTATGAGCTGCACACAAACCGGATCTCTGAACATGTTCATGTGTGAAGAGGCTCGAGGTCCCCGAGGCCTCAGACTAACTTTCATTTCACCAGAAATCGCTTCAACACGAGCAGCGCTTCGGCGCCGCAGCTCAACATTACAGGCGGATAAATAAATAAATAAATGTGTGTTTAATTTATGCCCCCCGTTAATTATTCATGTTTCTTCTTCTTCGGCTGTGATTTCTTCATGAGAAGTTCTTGGTGATAACTGGAGCAACGGGAACCCGGCTGCTGCACGTTCTGTGGTTCTGGTGCTCATTGTGCGAGTTCTGGTGTTTTAGAATGAAAGCTGAGCGACGTGCAGCTGATCTGAGCTTCAGCAGGTTCCTCTGTGAGGAACGCTGCAGAGCTTCTGCAGCGGCTGCCGATGGAGGATCGGTGCGTGACCGCGCTGCGTTTTCCGGTTCATCCAGTTCGGGTTCTCTAATGACACCGAGACGCTTCGCTGATCTGATCTGGACTCAGCTTCGAGCAGAACTGACACAACCGGGATAATAAAGTGTGACCCAAATACACCAGTCGGCCCCCATCACCGTTATCCTCGCCGCGTCTCCACGGCAACGCAGCAGCAGCGGCACGTGACCCGTGTTCATGACTCTCCTGCTCTCTGATTGGCTCCTCAGGGTGCTGATGTCATCAAAGTACCCCGACGGCCTGACGGGACGAATCGAGTTTAACGACGACGGCGACCGGCGCTTCGCCACCTACAGCATCCTGAACTACCAGCAGAAACCGGGTCGCCTCGTCCAGGTCGGAGTCTTCAACGGATCACAGGTACGGTTCACCTGGT